CAGCGTCTGAATTTTGATTCTGAGCATCAACCATCATAGCAACATCGTCATCGTTGGAGAGTTCGAGCGTTGTATAAGTTAACGAAAATAGTGCAGTTAGAAATCTATACCAAAGTGAGGACAATCTTCTAGTACTTCCAACATGAACCTTCTTTGAAATTGATCAGCTCGTCAAGAGTGGTATTTCTCTTGAAGGATAAGGTGACAAAATAACTTGATGCGAAGATAACACCAGTTTCATCTTCCCGAATTTCTCCATCATAATAAACAATAGCTGAAATACGCCTCATTTTAAGAGTTTGAAAGATTGAAAGTCTTATATCTGCAAAATGAATAATTGTTTCTAATATACAATCATTCTCCTAATTAAATAAATAGTATACAAATTAAAATATAAACTAATTAATACTAAAAAAATAAAAAAAATATTCACAATAATTTAATAACCCAATTTAATATTATTACCTTATCGACAAAATATATTGAGATATAATACCGCCTTCCTTTTTATAATAGAAAATAGTAATAAAAAATAATTAGTACAATAAAATTTGGTCGAACAAATTAAATATGAAATAAATAAAATATAATAAAAATAATTTTACCTTTTAAAAACTGTAATAAAATCTACTTATTAGAAGAAATTTATAGAAAGAAGAATGTGAATGTAATTTTGGTGTGGTTTGATATTTGGATTCGGGAGATATTTATAGGGAAGGGGATGACTCATTCGGGATTTAAAGCAGCTGCGATAATAATAGAAATGTCAATAATTGGGGGGAATAATCGAATGCTCATGATCTGTGCCTTCTTGACTTGTCAGAAAACGCCACAAAGGCGTGGATTATAATCCGCGCTTTTCCACCGTGGTGTCAGCTCAGACAGAACCCCAGGAAGACGTGCTTCATGATTTGCGCCTTCCGTCCACGTCTGCAAGACGCGTATCTTGAAATGAGCTTTATCACCAGTCTGTCATAATGGGTGTTAGATTGGTAATATTTGAAGAAAAATTATATGACAGGTAATTATTGATTATTTGGGTGATTTTTGTGTAAAAATACTGGTTTACATTGGATTAGGTTGATAAATAAATTTTTAGGTTTGTACTTTTGTACTAAGTTTATGTTTTGAATTAGGTTAGATTATTCAAATTGGGATGGGGTATAAAAATATTTAAGGTAAATTATGCATTTAATACTTAAATTATTAATTTTAATCTAGTTTTAGTATCTAAATCTTTATTTTTTTTAAAATCATATCTCACATTTAGTTTTTATTTTATTTTAGTATCAGTTGTTAAAAACTTAATGCATTTAATATTTAAACTATCAATTTTGATCCGTTTTAATACCTAAATTTTTAATTTTTTTCAAAAATTAATGTTACATTTTTAACGGGTACTAAAATGAAACAAAAAGTAAACATTAGGTATAATTTTAAAAAATTGAAAGTTTATATACTAAAACAAATCAAAACTGATAGTTTAGATACTAAATGCATAATTTATCTAAATATTTATTAACTAAAATCACCCAAACTGAAACACCAGCCAAAGCCAACATGGCCACACATTTTGACATCCAAAACAAAATCTTTAATAAATATATAGATAAATAAAAAGAAAACGATGATTCTGTAACATATGTTAGAAATAACCAAAATAAATAATATAGGGTGTTCTTTTGATGAGTCACCCAACAATAAAAAATTACAAAATAAATGATGTCTGCTGGCATTATCATTGCTTTTAAGCACTGACTTGATGAAATAATGTAAATAGAGATTCAAATATCACTTAAATAATTATGGGAATACAATTTTATTATATCATAGTCGACATGTTAACATTTAGCTAAGACAACTGTCAATTTTTTAATGAAAACTTTTAATAATTAAGGGACTCAAAAAAATAGTACACTATAGTCAGAGATCATTTTATAACTTTTAGAGTTAATTGCATCATATGTCTTCAAACTATAACCCTCATTTTAAATTGTTCCTTAAACTTCTTAATATTTCAATTTCATCCCTAAATTATGACTCTCATTCTAATTTAGTCCTTAAACTTTTGAACATTCTAATTCCATCCCTAAACTATGACCCTCTTTCTACATCCCCAAATTTTTAATATTTCAATTTTAACTTCAAATTCATCCAAATATGTAATTAGTTCCAACCATAATTTATGCTAATTTTCATTTTTTTCAAACGTATAATAACATAACTTGGTCTAACGATTTTATTAACAAGAGATATAATTAGTATATATGTATAGATTGGGATAAAATTGATTTGTTCAAAAAGTTTAGGGACTAATTTAGAATGAAGGTCATAGGTTAGGGATGAAATTGAAATGTTCAAAATTTTGAGGACAAAGTTAAAACAAAAATCATAGTTTAGGAATGAAATAAAAACATTTAAAAGTTTAGGAATCAATTTAAAATGAGGGTTGTACGTTAAGAACATGTGATGTAACTCGAACTTTTGAATGTTTTTCCTTTAATCATACTACTATCACAAAAAAAAATGGAGCAAGCCAACAATGGATTTGCCCCAGAAAGCCCTTCATTTCCTATAAAGCTTTTTTCACTGAACTTCTTCAGTAAATTTCCAGGTAAACTCTAGTAGAACACATTTTTGGTCAAATGAAGCTCTTTTAACTTTCCAGGTAACCTCTAGTTAATGCATTGTAAAAGAAGCACCACGCTTAAGAACAACGCTGGTGTGTTGGTACTTAATTTGATATTTTTATGTATTTTTTTGGGTATAATTGTAGCTGAAGAATGTTCGTATAACGTGTAAATAAAGGGTTTTTTTTATGTTTCTTATTTGTGGTTTAAAAGTTCAAGACTTTGTACATGAATAACCAAGTGGTGAACTTCAAACGATTTGGTTTCAAAAGTTCTATCCTTGAAGTGGCTTTGGGTGATAGGTCCTTAATTGCTTAGGAATCAAATGCTCTGATATTCTGATAGTCCTTTTTAATTTATTGATGTAACAAAGGGAATACTGACTGAATGATGAAGATTCATCCATGTTCTCAGGTCTATTGCACATTCTAGTTTCTACAGCATGCTTAAGGCCCCAAAGCACCAGGTTGCAGGCCACCTAGCCACGATGGAAAACTCGGCCCTCTTGTCGATGAATCGGGACGTTTCTACAGGCCTACGTGGCTCCAAGTAGGATTGTAAATGAGAAGAGATAGCGAACTACTCGAGATCAACATGGTCAAGACTCGATAAATATTCGGATCGAATGGACTCGACTCGAGTTCTTAACGAGCCGAAACGAGCTACTTGATACTCGACTCGAGAAGCTCGTGAGCAACTCGAAAATATAATATATTAAGATTTTATTTTTTTTATAAAATAAATTATTAATAATATTAATATTTATGTATTAATTTAAAAAATACAATAAGGTTTTCATGCATTTAAGGGTCAAGTTCGAATTCGAATTCGAGTTTAAGGATGCATTCGAGTTAAGTTTAAGATTTTTTTTTTCATTTCGAGCTGCTCAACAGCTTCAGTTTAAGATTTCAAGTTCGAGTCGAGCTTGAAATTTTTAAGCTCGAGACTTTTCGAGTCGAGTCAAGCTTCATTTCAGAGTTTTCGAGTCGAGCTGAGCTCAGCAATACTTGAGCTGAACTCGGTTCGTTTACACCCCTAGCTCAAAGGAGCTGGCGTTCTATGAAACGTTGTTCCGGATGGCATCCGTAATTTTTTTCCTGTTTTCTATGGGAGTCAACTTTTGGTGGCATCAAATGGATATGGCTTGTGCCTCCACCTTGTCTTACAAGATATAGTCTCGGGTCGTGTTAATCCGTCTATCATGGATGTTAAGATTGGTTCCAGAACATGGTACCCCGAGGCATCCGATGAATACATCAAAAAGTGTTTTGACAAGGATGGAAGAACCACCACTGTGTCCCTCGGTTTTCGGATAGCCGGATTGCAGCTATACGAGGGCGAGGAATCAGGATTCTGGAAGCCAGGGAGGAAGGAAGTCCAGAGTTTTACAGACGATAATGTTCGATCGGTTATGAGAAGATTTGTCGTTCAATGGGGGTTAATAGTAGTGGAAATGCATAAAGCCCATGACCACCCACCTACCAGTTTATTAATAATTAATCTAAATTAAATATCGCAGAGGCTCTATGGAGATGACCTTTCCTGTTTAGCTTATTTCATTTACATTTGTCAGGATTCAAATAGTGACCTTTTTAAAGGATTTTAGTGTATTATATCATTAGTTCAATTGATTGTTGATTACCTTCAATAAATTTAAACATATTAAAAAAAGAAAACGATCGAATTAAAAAAAATTAAAAGCGATTTTATAAATAGTTGATCATACCTAAACAAAAATGATGAGTGATAGGTGAGGATGGTTTTAGAATTAGCTTCCATTTTATTGGGGCAACGTTTGACTTCAATGGCTTAAACCCTAGCAGCGTGGACCCAAAGTCACTATGATTAAAAACACTGTGAAAAACAGAGGGAATAACTGACATGGAAGAGTAAGCTCTAAGGTTTAGCTTAAAGTTAAGGACACTGAGACTAAAGTAAAACCATAAGTGTATAGATATGGCCTATGTAGAAACTAACTGCACACCTGATTTAAATTGCTCCATTACCGGTGCGACAAATTATATTTTGACTCATGCCATATTGCTTCTGCAAGAACCCTAAGCCTAACTGTAGATTCACTTGCCTTTCCTGTTATAGCAAGGAAAAGTTGCAGAGTCAATTAACACTGGAATCATGTTTAGACAAGTTGAAAATACCGGGTCCATGATAGAATTCGCTGTTGCTTTCATGAAAGATTGAAGGGAATTATCAGCAAAAGAAGCATACATAATCTTTTCTTTAAAGCAATGGAATCCATATGAAACCCAGTAGTGAACTCCAAGGTTAAATGAATAACTTCCAGTTCTTGCAACCTCTAAATGTTACATATATAAACACTGCAATATAACAAGCTGACATCCATAGTTTAATAAGAAAAGAACCAAGAATGAATTCAGCTCTTGTTTTGTTCATCGTCTTCTGCTGCATCACTTCCATCAGCATTTGCCTGGCGGATAACGATAATGTCTGGGACGCTTGTCCGACCGATACAACGGCGAAAGAAGCCGTGTTCATCAACGGTTTCCCTTGCAAGAAGCCTTCAAGCATCATTGCTTCGGATTTCAAGGCATCAAGTCTGAAAGAAGCTGGGGATACGGACAACTTTCTTCGTTCCTATGTGAATATTGTCACTGCCTCAGATTTCCCAGGCCTGAACACACTAGGCCTATCGATTGCTCGAACCGACCTCGATCTCGATGGTGTGGTGATGCCTCATTCTCACCCCAGAGCCACCGAGTTGTTCTTTCTCCGCAAAGGTGTCGTTCTCGCCGGCTTCATCGACACCAACAACACTCTCTTCCAGTCGTTTATCAAAGAAGGAGATGTATTCTTGTTTCCCAAGGGAATGCTCCATTTTTGCTTGAATGCCGGTTATGAGCCGGCCATTGCATTCTCAGTGATGAGCAGCCAGAACCCTGGCGTGGTGAGCATTAGTGGCGCCATCTTTGAGACCAACAAAGAAATATTAGATAGGATCAGATGAAGATTGATCTCTGTTCGGGCAACAAGTATGGCCAACTTTTCAAGAATTCATATCCAGTAAAAAAAACATTGTGTTTTAAAAATACATGGTATTTCTTATACTTCATGAGTGCAAAATGCAACCTTTGATTGTAAAACAAAGTGTTAATTATTTGAGTGCACTGATGTTTCAGTTTGCAGAAGAAAGGTCTTTTCTCTTGTATTTAGTCATAATTAGTGTCTCTAAATCTTGATTGTACTATTTTGTTAAATAATGACATTTTCCCTCTTAAATAATGGCATAGGTCGGGTTGGGTTTTTGGTTCACCTGACCCAATCTGATAACAAGGAGTCCTCCACCCGAGACCCGACCAGACCAAAAACAAGTTTTCACCCAACCCGAATTTGTCCCGATAAATAACTTAAAAAATCAACTCGACCCGACCCGAAATAATAAAAAAATATTTTTATTCAATAAAAACAGTGACTTAATTGAAAATAAATAATATATAGAGGGGTATTATTGTAATTATTCCTAAATATATAAGGTAAAATTATATATTTTTACAGGTCGGGTCGGGTCGGGTATTTTTCACCCTAAATCCGACCCCGACCCAAACACCACATTAAAAAAACCCGACCTGACCCGACTCGAACCCAAAACTTTTTTAAATCCGATCCGATCGGGTCAGATCGAAATCCGTTGGGTTCGGGTACCATGCCCATCCTTAGGTATCAATCACTTAACTAACCGCCTGAAATATTATCAGAATAACTACCCTTCAGAGGCTTAATCACTATGTGTGGAAATTTAGCCAAGGATTTTCATATTCCCTTTTTTTGGTATACTAAGAATTTTCATATTCGATTTCGTCCAAACTACTCGTTCATAAATGTCGCGACCGTATTTCAGTTGGCCTCGAAATTGGGCTCCGACTTGAATAAAATAGATTGGAGTTGCCAACGATTATTTATTTTAAAGCAAATTGGTTGATCGGATACCTTATTTCTTACTTGATCTGCGCCTTACCAAAGATGTGTCGGATTCAGGAGTCGGTTACAATCAAGGAAGGGTTAGCACCATTGAACTGTCCTTTCGGTACTACGTAATTTACAGTTATCTTTAATTAATAAAATGAAAAGTTTAAATTAAAAGGTAAAACAACGATCCAAACTACTTACCTATGATAGTTTTAAAAGTATACCCTTAAGAAAGTCAAGAAATATGTCAGATAAGGTAAGAAATAAATAAAGAAAATTAAATAAAGAAAATAAAAAACAAAAACAATAAAGAAGGAAGAAAACAAAGATAAACTAGTAAGTTAAATCAATAAAGTAAAAGAATAAATAAAACTAAAAATAAAGGTAAAGAAAAAGAAAAGGAAAATCAAAAGAGAAGGAGAATAAAGATAAGTAAAAAGAATAAAGAAAATAATAGTCAAAACAATAATATATACAATAAATAAATAAATTAAAAATATATGTATATATCAAAATATTAATAGACAAATAAATAAATAAATAAGAGTAATATATATATGCGTTGTAAACTAATAAAAATATAAAAAGAAAATATAAATGTAAAAAAATGTCAACTAAAGAATATAAGAAAGTAAGGAAAAAATATAATAATATAAATAATCAAGGGAATATATATATAAATAAATAAATAAATAATAATTAAATATAAAGGGGCTAAATTGAGGATAAAATAAATTAGGATGCAAATTCGATTGGGGTCAAAATGAATTTTTAAAAATAGAGAGAGACCAAAAACACTATTGCCCCCCTTTCTTCAAAACGCGCGGATCTAAAGGCGACCGGGTCGGGTTGTGGGTCGGTTCCACGGTTACTATAAATTCCATTTTCATAAACAACATTTTATTTTTACCCTTAACCCAAAATGGATCAAAACCAGAGGTTTTAAAACCTCTGAAATGTTCTTCATCTTTGAAGAACTTGGGTGGCCGGTGTTCATCGAGAACCCAGAACCCGACCGCACTCTGCAGCGTCGGCCATCGTGGGCGGGCGCCGGCCGCCGCACTCCAGCGACAAAATCCCCACTTTCCACCACCATTCGAAAGCCTCATTCACGTTCATTCCGAAAATCAAAATAGTTTCCTTAAAAAAGAAGCCTCGAGAGGTAAATCTGAAGTCAAAGGTTTCGAAAAAACCACTTCTTCCCCATGTTCATCGGCACTTGGTTTTGTAAAAACAATAGCAACAACAAAACATGCAAGCCGAAAATTAAAAAAGGTATGAACTTTTACCTCTAGTTTATTTCCTCTTCGAAAATTACAAAGAAAGTTCCTTGCTTTTCGGTTTCGCTCTAAGATTGCTCGTAATTTTTTGCTTTGTATTTCGTATGAGAATTGTTGTTACACTTGTTGATGATTACAATATTTATGGTCTAAAAAATACTATTCTTAACCCCAAATTTTTAGAGTTTTATTTGAACTCTAACACTTGTTTGTTGGTTGTGGATGAATCCCTTTTACTCACGTTGTTGATGGTGAAAAACGGCCGGCGTGAAGATCGGGTTTGTTAACCGAGCACGAGCGACGCTGGGTGAGACATGCCTAGGGTTCGAAAACTCTAGGTGCTGCGGGTAGGAGCTGGGTCTAGCGGGTCCGGGTCGCTCTAGAGTGGGTCACATATTGCTGCTCCAGTGGGGCTGATAGCTTTGTAATAAGTTCGAGCCGAATACTTTGTAATGGACCTGCAATTGTAATAAAAATATATATATATATATATATATATACACGTTAAATAACATAAATATACATATATATTATAAATATGTGATATGAGAATGGGACGAAATAGTATGTTCACAATAAAATATTTAAATTTTACTATAAAATATTAATGTAAAAATTATGTATTTTTAACCTGCAAAAGTCAAAATAAACTATCAAGTTAAGTTTAGATACCAAACAAAAGTGCATTATGGTTCAATCCTCTCCTTTTTATGTACAATCTATATTCATAAATGAAATTATAAATATTTCTTTTTATATATTATTTATATTATATAGATTTAATTAAATAAAGATACCTAAATTTTAAAAACAAGAGAATTTTATTATTGAAATCAATAAGATAAAGGGTAAACTACATACAAGGTCACTTAATTATTGGTTTGGTACTTTTTCCTAAAAGTTACAAACAAATCATTTAATTAAAATATTGTTACAAACAAATCATTTAGTCCTTAAAATTAAAACATACATCTAATACAATATGGTATAATAATGTTTTTAGTCTCTAAAACTTACATATTCTATCATTTTTTTAATAATTTGAAACAATTCAATAAATTTAACCCTTCATATTTAAAAAAAATCAATTTAGTCTTTTTATGATATTATCAAACTAAGTGATCCCATCAAATTAAAATTGTAGTTGAATAATTGTATTATTCAATAGTGAAACAAGCTACTATTAAATTGTTATTGCGGGGTTGTTCTTTTTAACAGGTTCCGAGATGTTCTCGTGGTGGATGGGTGTGGGCGAAGCTTCTGAACATGCGACCGGAAGCTGTCGAGATTTTGAGCACGCTCACTGATCCTGCTGTTTCGTTGGCCAGGATTTGGTGTGCCTTGCCTGTGCTGTGCAGGGGGCGAGAGTTCCTTGGGAACGGGTGGATGACGGCTTTAGATAGACTTCCGACGGGGGTCGTTTAATATCTTTTGGTTGGAATATTGATGGCACTTGTTTATTGTGTTTGAGAGAGCTTGAGGCTCATGACCATTTCTTATTTGAGTGTTGTTACTCGAAGCGAGTTTGGGAGTGGATCTTGAGGGCATATAATTTCTCTAGGCCGATCATGGAGTGGAATAGGGAGTTGAGTTGGGCATGTGTTAATGCGCAAGGTAAGTCTCTTATTTCTTTCATATTTATTTTGACAATGAACGTTTAATCATCGTATGTCAGTTGTTGGTGGTCGAACTCATATCTTTTAGGAACAACAATGATTCATTTAACCACTTGGTAAATTGCTTGAAGGAGATAGTTCATTTAAAAGTGGCCAATACGTAGGGGTTAAGCGTTTGCAGCTTATTGCGGCTGGTAGATTGGAGTGGGGACTGAATGTGTAAAGTGCTTGCATTGTTTATTTAGGCTAAAGTTTTGTACAAATTTTGTTATTTTGGATATATGAAAGTGCAACATTTATAAAAAAAATTAAAATAATTTTAAATATGAAGAGTTAAATTTATTAAATTATTTCAGATTAGGTCCAAATTGATAAACTGTATAAATTTAAAAGAGTAACACTGTTATTATATCAGTCCATATCACTATTTCGTTTAATATTCATCGATCGAGTGATCTGTTTGTAATAATATTTTAATTGTGTGACCTATTTCTAAGTTTTAGAAAAAATATTACCTGTTTAATACTTATCCATGATTAAATGACCGTGAATGTAGTTTAACCTAAAATAAAAGCGTCGAAACAATTTTTTTTTTCTTTATCAAGAAATAGAAATATTTGATCCTTCTATATAAATGAACTTTTCAAATCGACATTTCATCACCAAGCTATTCCGCGCCAAAAACCTGAGCTCCGACGGAAACAGGAAAAAGAAAATGGTTCTCGTTTGTTTCTTGGTTGATCTACGAAGCCTATCGCCTTCATTGCTAAGAGACATAAAGCAGGTAATCGATCGCAGAACTTTAATTTCAAAATCTGCTTTAAATTGAATCCATCAACTGAGAAATTTGGTTGCGATTTTCAGTCACTGTTACAGATGGCTAATTTCTACACTATTTCGTCAAGTTGGAGGAGTAAATCGGATTCTCTCAGAGACCGAGTTGGTTTGTGCTACGTCATCAAAAACCGCGTTTCTTCTTCCGATGAGGTAACTCCTTTGATTTGATCTGAGGTTTCAACGGAATGAAATGCATTTTTGAATTTTGACTTAGAATCGGATGGACTGAAAACAGCTAAAGGTGGCGTATAGTCCAAGAGGAGACTTCAGTCTTCGTGATTTTCACCATGCTGTTAATAGTTTACCCACCGATTCGTTTTCCCCTGAGATCAACGAGTCTGGATCTACCTCTTGCAACGGTCTCTCTCTCTCTCTTACTTCAAATATTGGAAGAGAAATGAAAATTTAATTAGGTTTTGGTATAAATATAAACGCCGATTTTCAAGATTATGATAAAATTATATGATTCGAAATGCATGAATTCCACTTTTATGTGAGCAATATATTGAAATTACTGTTTCACATTATTTGTTTGTTCATTTTCAATCAATGATATTTAGCAGATGTGAAACTTGCAAGTGTCTTGAGTGATCAAGTTTTATATTCTTGGGGAGGGAGAGATATCGTGCGAAAAGTGATTGTATTGAGTTCATGTTTACCTGAAACTATGGACTGTCCCTTGAAAGAAACTCTTACGGTGAGCTATACGTTAACAAAGTCTGTGTTTTTTTATCCCTTCGGCTTTGTAGAAATAACTTTCAACCTCTGTTTCTGGGCAGGACGCTGCAGATAAGTGCGTTTCTGTCGAGTTCATTTTCCTTGAGCAAAGATCAAACCATCTTAGTGATATAAGGGCAAATATCAACACCTTTTCCACATGCATATCTGATCTTGACAACTGCTCCTTTCAATGCTGCCTTCCAGGTTACAGTCTTCCCTTGCATGTCTTTTAGAAATTCAGGTTTAATTCAAGGCGTTTTAAACATTTATGAGCAGCTTTGGGAGTTCTATCTCGAATCAGTATTATACTTGCTATGGTGAAATAGAAGCTTGAGTTAGAGGCAAATGCGTATTTCAAATTATTGTCCAGGTCTCAGAGAAATAATAAAATCCCTAAAACTAATTAAGGCACTATCATTATTGTTGAGCTATTTTGTGCTTGAGCCGTGATTTCAAAGAAATTTTGTGCTATTGTTAACAATTTCTGGCTATGTTTAGTAGGTTGAGACACCTGAAACACAAGATTATCGTATAAATATCTAAACTTTTTTTAGTATTCTACCAACTTTGACAGAGGCCAAAGTATTTCTCAGCTTGGTGAAACGATGGCTACAAGATCTAAGGGACGACATGGAAGAGCCATTGCAGGCTCATTTCATCTTTAATAGTAACCTAGGTTCATTGAAGCAGATATCCTGCAATTTATCTACTTCTGTCAATCAAATAATTGATGGATTCAATCCTTGTAAGGTACTCAGCATGTACCTTAATTCAACCCTTTTGCAAGCAGAATAACAATCCTTTGATCCACTTCCTACAGACGTGCAGGTGCCATGGTGCACCATTGGACAATGCAGGAAAAACTAGGGTTGAAAGGCCTTCATGTCAATTCACTGGCCATGAACTTGGGACTTTTGAGGTGATTGACAATTCTTTGAAGGTAGGAGAAAACACAATCCTGTATATGCCCTCTTTTCAGACCTCTCTGAAACTCCATCAGGCTTCTTCACCTGTCAACTTCAATATAATAGACAGAATCAACTTAGGGTCTCTAAGTGAAGGTAAATCTCAAGAATGAAGCTCCATTTTCGACATCTTAGTGGGTTTTCCACAGTCTCTTGCATCTTTTGAAAGGACTCTTGGTTATTAAATAATTTAAGCTGTCGTCCATGCAATTTTCCTGAAATATAGGAGCTAGGGAAAAAAGGGAATAATGCTAGTATTTTATTTAAACGATGCCTTGGTTCATATTCTCCTTTATTGGTATTTCATACAGGAGTTATATTTGGGAATCCCTATTTTGTAACTCCATCGGCTTCTCCAGAGATAGAAGCTGCTTCAGATGAAATGGATCAGCTAGAATTGAATGCTCAATGTGCGTGCAAGTCCTTTTGTTTGCTATCATGCTGCATTGTGAATGTTTAGTGAGTTAGTTTGTGTATGATTTCAGACTATTCCAGAATTGCAAATTTATCTTGAGTTTTAATACCATTAGAAGTTCTTGTTACATGCAACTGTGAGAAAATTTTCTGTGAACTGTTCTTCCTTTCTTTTCACATCATTTTATTATTTCGTTTTCCTGATCCAAATACAAATTTTCAGTTTTCAAAGGGCTTTGCAGTGCTCTACATTCATTAGATCAAGGCTTGGTATGCTCTTCATATTGCAATCTAGAAACAATGAGGGAGGCGACGTTCCATTGCTATTATATTCTTCAACCTTCAGATAATGGACCAATGCTTCTCAGGGTGAACATTAAGCTACTTTCATTGTTAAAGGATGGCCTACATGTTCATTACTAAATAATATTTATAGTCAAGTGTCTTCGTTGTAATCCACCTAATCTCTCCCCCCACCCCCAAAAATATTGCTACTTTAGGGTGAAATTTTCTTGCTAATGGAGTTAAGCTTAGCTGATAACTATGTTGTTTAATGTTTTAAAACTTACAGCGCCTTGCAGGATCAGAGGAAGTGTTGCCTTTTTCTGATGTCAATCGATTTATTGCTTATTCAGTGCCCAAGGAGATTGAGATTGCCATACACTCCTCCTTATCCAAGGTAAAAAGTATTATATTGAAGTTTCTCGCTCTGTTCCCGGTCTTTTATTGTTTAGTTTCACATTTGTTCAAAGCCATGTTTTTCAAGCTCACTCTTGTCCTTTTATCGTCTGTTTATTATCCTAAGCGGTATATTGCCCTTTTAAAACTATTCTGTATATCCTCTGGATTTTGCATTGGATTTTATAATCGGTTGCAAAGGGCTTGAAGCAGTTGTACATAGATCAACTGACCACATTAATTAAATTAAATGGGTTAAAATTATATTGTTGTAGGTTTTCATTTTTTTGAAGCTTCATGTCCGACGTATATTTGGACATGGTCATGGGGATATGACTTTACAAAGACTTCAAATACATGAAAACCCACTTCTAAAAAATTGAACATACACTGACATGTACCCCAAATATGTAAAACACTACTAAAATATTCTGTAAGCATATTGACAATGCCACTAGATTTTGATTTGGATCTCAAATATGCATGTCAGAATAGCAAAAAGATGAAAAATATAGTTTGATTACTGACATTCACATTTTGCTCCAATTTCTTTCTTTATGAATCTGTGGCAGCTGGAACCAAGAGACTACAATCCAGTCCTGTATGATAGAGGTTTCCATAAAAAACTCAACTTGCTTGTAAAAGAGAGCTTGCAATTTGGGTAATCATGTTCACATCTTCTTTAAACTGTCCATATAAATTAGTCATTAGAAATCTAGCTTGTTTAGATTTTCAATTTTTCTTTAAGTATTTGTGTCTTACAATTGTGCTCAAACTATACTTGAACATAAATATATAGAAATATGACCCTTCGAAAACCCTCTACCAATACACGTTCCCAACATTCTTGTCCGAGTCCAAATAACATTGTTATAAACAGTCAAGTATACATGCATTTGTTCCCCCCTTCATGAACAGCTCAGATCATTTAGTTAAGAAAGAGTAAATGCCTTGCGTTAGTATGGTTTTGTTTGCAACCTCAGAGCATAGAGTCTTAGCATATCATACATCTTTGAGCATGGAATGCGGATTGAATGCTTTCTGATAATTTTTGCTTCATCGATGACATGAATATTCCAGGTCCGTAGCTGCTAAACCGAATGACGCAACATCTGAACCAAACCCGACTAACCTTGACTCAACCAAACCGAAAGCACAACCAACTTCACCGGTCCATGTCATGGTAGTGAGTGATGAAACGTCACATCTAGATAAAGCAGTTGAACCCAAAACAACAGCTTCGATTGCTGAAGAATGGGAGCGACTGGTGGTGAATGAAATCCCAATAAAATATTCCCCCACCGTACCCAAGCCAGATCAATCGTTTATGCTTGTATCCTCACCAGACAACATCAGTCAGCTAGATATAAACACCACAAGGATACTGGAGAGGCTGGAGTTGCCGAGGCAGTTAAAATCAAAGCAAGGCTCTCCCGCCAACAGCAGCAGCAGAATCTCGGATGTTGCTAATTTGTCGATGAAGAAACCTCTGATCCCTTTCCAGCCCAATCAGGATGCGGATCAAGGCTTGACCTCGAGCCAACTAATCAGGCCCAGTTTCGAGAGGATAAAACGAAAGCATAAATAGATGAACGGTTCAGGTAAAACAAATTGTTGGGTTGGCTTTTAGACGAGCAAACCATGACTAGCCTGTTTTCCCATCAAACACCGACCTCTCTTTTGAAATCTCAATCAACCAGCGCACTATCGTTTGCTTGCCTCAATTATTAACCAATTTCCTATTGAAACTTTTTCCAGCTGGAAAAAGTATATTAAAATACGAAAATTTTGAATTTATTATATTAAAGAAACTTTGATACATGATTAGAAAGCATATTATAATTGGAGGGGCAAAGATCTTTGTACAAAATGAGACCCGGAGGTCGACGGAACTGCCCGTACTGAGCTTCTAAAAGCTTTTCGTTTTAGGCTCTTCTTCTTATCCTGGTAATTAAAAATTCTCTTTATGAAAATCAAACCTGGTGGACGTCTTGCGGGAGAAATCTAAAGCTAGCTGGCGAAGCTCTTTTGTCAGTGCCGGTGCCCCACAATAAAACACCCCTGGTCAATAACACTCATCATTATTTGTACAAACATTTACTTATTATTTAATCATTATCATGGAATGCACTAACATCCCATGTGAACATTTATGCAAGATGGTTTTATTAAAAATAATATTTTATTATAAAAATATGCATATGATTTTATACATTCGCAAAGTATATTATTATTATTATTTTTATATGACTATTATATTTGATTTATTAATTAATTAATTTAGATTAAAAAAATATTATAAATTAATTTTCTTAATCTAGTTTATTTTGTCCAAAATATCAAAATTGAAATGTTTTGTCTTATTTAAAAAATCTTACACATCAACAAATAAATTAATTGTTAGCTGTTAGATTTATGCTCTATCACTCAGCCATTTAATAATAAGCTTTTAGTTATGTCTTTTGTTTATTTTCAAAAGGTAGGCATCTTTTTTCTTTTTCTCTTTTAAATTAGGTGAGGGACAAAAGAGCTAGCAAACGAAGAGTCTAAGCTAAGAAACATTGCTTTACTGATAAACCAGCTAAATAAAGAAGATATGGAGCACTTAAAGTCAACAATTACACAATAAATCTTTTTAAAAACATGTAACTATTTCTTAGTACCTAACTCTAATGTTCATCAATTAATAGATTATTTGCATGTAAAAAGCATGTTGATTAGATTCCATCTTGAGTTATATCAATTGATGTGAGCATGTTGATGAAGTGTAAGGGTAATTCCTACCATTATATTTTTGACAAAATGACATGCTTCTAAAGGGTAGTTTTCAGTGTACATACCAACTCGAGAGCTGTTGTGATTGACAGCAATTTGCTTGTAGACACTGCGCCAATTAGGCTTGGCAAAGTGGGATTTAACTCTCGTACCGGAGACAATGTCGACCCCATTTTTAGCATGATTGAGTGATTGAAGCATGGTGATGAGGGCAGAGCGAGCATCTCCTTCTTCATAAACACTGGTGCAGTAATTATGAAGCTCGATCACATGGTTATGGTCCATTTCGGCGACTTCATTCATTATCCCTTTGAACCAATCAAAGGACCCTTGTTCCCTCGTCACCCAATAAAAGTATGCCCTCCTGGTTTTGAAGCTTTCTTTCCTTTTCGAATTTGATGATGATGATGATGATGAACTGGTTCTGTTGATCTCAACGACTCCGTTACCTTTCTCCAAAGCACCACTGATGGACACTTCTTCCTCTTCCATGGCCCTGATGTTGTTCACTATGTCTTTCACGATGCTGATCATGGGGGTTGCTCCAATCCCCAACCCCACCAGCAGAACCACTTCGTACTTCTTGTAGTCTTGTGCCGGTGCTCCGTACGGTCCATCGATTAGGACTCTTGGGAAACTGTTGAAATCATCAATCATGTTGAAGAATATGCCATGGAAATCGACATTTTAATTAAGCTTTTCCTTTTCCTTTTTTGTGTGTGTGTGTGTTGTTGGGATATGGTCTTATGGACATCCACTTCCTTCAAATGAAAGCTTATTAACAGGATAGAGACATGATTTTATGTTAGGAGCAAATTTTTAAATTTTAATGAGGTGGTGAAGTTGTAAAATTCAAGAATATGAAAATAGATTATCAATATAAAATTGAAAAAAAAATCTAAAATATATAATAATTTAAAATTTTCTGGAAGCTGTCACTCATCCATCTTTGCTAACCAACAATTAACATGGAAATTGATATTTTGGTTAAGCTTTTCCTTTTTTTTTTGGTTGGGACATGGACATCCATTTCATTCAAATGAAAGCTTATCAATAGGGTTGGATACAAGATTTTATTCTAAGGATAAATTTCTAAAATTTTAGAAGAGGACGAACTTATTAAATTGCAAAAACAAATTATCAATAGAAAACACAAAAAGAAACTTAAAATGTATAATAATTTAAAATTTTCAAAGACTACTGCCTAAGTCGCTTCCTCAATCCATCCCAACTTCTAAACATTTTTAATTTCCATTGGTTTCTAAAGCTGAAAGACATCATGTTATTAGTTTTTCTTCATGACAAGTTCATGTAAATATAATCCAATTTCCCTTGTCGTAGCAGCTTCAACACAGTCAATTATTATTCCCTCATTAAGATATTGATGTTGAATTTCTTGTCTTGTTGCTTAGAGATAACAAATATTTGTTAGTTGATGTGCTTTAGGACTACTTTTATGTTTAGATTTATTTGTTATTTGTGTGTTGCTTAAATTTAGGAGAGTTGTTCTTGGGTGTTGCTTAAATTTAGGAACATGTTATTAGTGGGTTGTTGTTTTCATTGTATTTAAATTCTGAATGATTGTTGAATAAAAAATAAAGTGCAGTTTCCTTCATCTATTGAATTTTCTTTTCTTTAAAATACCAACAATTGACAACATAGCTTTTTTTCTTAAGGGACTTAGTTTTTGCTATAACATGAAAGGTGAAAGTAATTTTTCTTTGATTGCCCTGCCTACATTTGATGGAGATAATTATCCATTTTGGGCAGTACGGATGAAGACTTACCTAGAGGTTGTAGATCTTTGGGAAGATGTGGAAGAAGACTATGAGATTCTAGCATTGCCGACCAACCCCACCATAGCACAGATCAAAGCACAAAAAGAAAAGAAAGCAAGAAAAGCAAAGGCAAAAGCATGCTTATTTGTTGCAACATCACCGACTATTTTCACTAGAATAATATCTCTAAAGTCAGCAAAGGAGATATGAGATTATCTCAAGGCTAAGTACGAGGGAGATGAAAAAATTCGCGGGATGCAAGTGTTGAATTTTGTACATAAATTTGAGCTGCAAAAGATGAAGAAGACCAAGACAGTCAAGGAGTATTCTGACAGACTCGTTAGCATAATCAATAAGGTCATACTGCTAGGTTCGTCTCTAGTAGATTCAATGATTGTGTAGAAAATCCTTGTAACAATACCGAGAGGTTAAGGCCATATCACCACTTAGAGAACATGAAAGATCTGTCAAAGATTACTTTGGAGGAACTCTTAAGTGCTTTGCAAGCACAAGAGTATAGGCATATAATGAGAGAAGAAGTGCCCATTGAAGATGCTCTACTGGTTAAGCATCAAGATGATGGAAATAACTGGAGGCCAAATAACAAAAAGTTTCACGCTGCAAGTGGAGAAAACTTTGCATTTGGGAACAAAAACCAAGCTTGGAATAGAAAACCAAGAGTAAAGAAGGACTATCCTCCAAGTTAACACTGCGAAAAAAAGGTCACCCACCTTTCAAGTGTTGGAGAAGATCAGATGCAAAGTGTAGCAAGTGTAACTAGATGGGACATGAAGTTGTTGTTTGCAAGTATAAAAATCAGTAACAAGATGAAGCACAAGTGACAAATCAAGAAGAGGATGATCAACTTTTGTTGCAACTTGATTCACTAATCACGAATTAAGTGAAAGTTGGCTCATTGACAGTGGATGACAAAGGGTTGTTCAAAGAATTGAAGAGTACCGAGCCCAAAAAGGTCAAAATTGGGAAATATGAATACATTGCTATCAAACGAAAAGGGACCGTAACCATTGCAAGTTGTTCATGTACCAAGTTTATTTCTGATGTCCTTTATGTACTTGATATTGATCAAAATCTGCTTAGCGTTGGTCAATTAGTAGAGAAGGGATTCAAAGTGAAATACATGTGCGATAGAGGATGCTGCATATCAGAAAATGTTTGAAGTTAAGATGGCAAGGAGAAGTTTTTCCCTCAATC